ATAGACAAGACATAGTCTCTTCAATAATCATATTATATAATTTAGTCTAAAGGTAGGCAGTTAAGCTGTCATTTTATGCTAAGTTTAATACTTAGAAATTAAATATAAAAAATAAATTTATTGAAGAGACAAAAAATTTTCTTTATTTTTCATTGTTCACAGTCACCAATGAGTCCAAAGCAACTTTCACTTATGGAGGTGACTTTTTATTTAAGGCTGTGCTTCCACAAAAAATGTAAAATGGATAAAAATGAAGATAGTTTTGTATCTTCAATATATTTATTTTTTAATGTAAATACTGTTGGCCAATTTTTAATTTTAATCAAATTGGAGATTAATTTTAAATCTGCATGGTAAGCAGAAATTTCAGATTCAGATCCTACTTCAGCTTGACTTTTTTCTTACAGAAACTTCTAAATTAATTAGCTTAGTAATCAGGGATTAATTTTGAATTAAACTTAGCACAAGATGGCAATTAATGAGGGTTGCCATAGTAGTAGTATAGTAGTTGTAACTTCTTATATATTACAAAATATATATTGCAGGACCAGTTGTTTATTGATATCCATAAATGAATGCCCTTCTGCTTGAATAATCTTATCTTAGAGGAAGGTGTTTTCATACCTAAGTGTTTAAGTTAAAGATGAGTTGCCGGAATTCTTGTCTGAAAAGTATGGTGGGTTTTTGAGAACCTCCTATTGCCATTGTGCTAACATACCCTGAGAAAAAGCAGTGTAACATCAGACATTGTCATGTAAGATAAGATTCAAAACACATCTGCCTATTATTTTGCATGCATTGTCAAGCAAGATAATAGGCAGATGTGTTCTGAAGCAAGATAGGCCGACATCATCATTTCCTTCATACAGCAAAGCAAAAATGATAGTCCAGGAAATGTTGGTAGTATGCAATGTGAAATCTTGTTCTGAAGAACTGCATGATATAGTATCACATCTTGGACATAAGTCATTATCAGCATCACTTCCATTTTTCTGCATTCTTGGCTCAATGTCTTTGGCCAAGAAAAAGTTGCGTGTACTATTCATTGGATTGTCGTTTCAATTTTATTTGTATAGCCTTGCCCATATTTTAACCAATGCAATTATCCTCTCAAATAATGCATGACTCATACCTGTAATGTTCCAAATATTTGTTTGCAAGTTTATAGTGATACCACTATACCATTTCTTTACCTCACTGATATGATGATCTATCATGCTTGGTATCCAAGCGTGTCTTTCAACACATGCAATACTATTGTTTGGCTTGTTTATGCCTATACTGCTAAAGGTCTCGCTGTCCATTGTCAAGACACCTCTATTAGCAATTCAATTAATGGATTGTGATGAGATTTGATATCTAGATGACCAGAACATTCTGCATCATCCACACTATCATGACCTTGGCAAAATGCTTTCACCCATATTGCCATTTGATGCAGCAATCCATTAGTGCTGCATGCTTTTCACAGTTCTTCATAACATTTTTTAGCATTCCTTCCACATGATACTTCAGTCTTTTTTATCCATGCATTAATCAATTAAGTGTTTGCAAGCTTGACTGCCTCAAAATGGTGAACAGATGGATATAATGAGACCACATCTGTTTTGTAAAAATGATACAAATCTGAAGTAGCACTCCGATGATACTACTTATAAGAGACTTTGCTTCAAGAAATGACAAAATTGGAGCTAGGAACTAGCCCAGATGAAATTAGCAGTTTGGGCCTGGATATTCTCTTAAATATTTAGTCAATCAGGTAAAAAAATGCATTATTTCAATGATTCATTTTATTTTGTTAGAAAGAACTGGTATTTGTGTCACCAGCCATCCTGTATCTAGGTCCTCTATCTTTATGTATATGCTGAGTCTTTAGAAAATTTGGGTATATACTGCCACTGGCTCCCCAGCCCACATTACATATGATACTTTGCAATGATAACAGACAGGATTACACTTTTTGAAAAGTCTGGAGTTTACACTATACTTTTACAAAATCCACTAACTGGGCCAAATTTATTATATATATGTGCCACTGCCAGAATGCTCCATGTTTGTTTAGCAGAGCATCATAAAGATATTATACATGGGAGATGCTGAACAGAGCTAGTCAAAAGAGTGATGGAATATAACTTCGATCATCTTTGGTCACAAGTTTAATGCTGTGGGGATAGGAGAATCTTGTTCATATGAATCTTTGCTTATTACATCAATGTTCCCATGAAACTCTCTCACACTTGATATTTCAGAGCTTTGGGTTGCACTGGTCAACTTACTAAAATTATAGGTCACACAGTTATATTACAAAATCATACTGGTGACAATGAGGCTCCAGTGTTTACATTTTGTTTAAATTTTCTTTATATTCTTATTAACTATTTCTGTGTATATTAATTCTATTAATTTTGTTAGCCATTGCCATTGTATATAACATTTATTTTGTAATGGTGTATAATTTTGTATTTTTATTTCTGAAATTTTTTCATGTTCCATGCTCATGTGCAAAGAGCAATTTGAAAATGTGCTCTATCTCTAGACTTATAACATTTCATCTGCCATGTTATCTGAAGAATATGGTTATATATGTCAAAAGTACTTATTAATTAAATGTATTTACCAGTTATGTCAATAGACAGTTATTAGGTTTTCTTCTATCCTTTTATATTAAATAATAGTTTTTAAATATCTACATAGGATTTTTTTCAACCTCTGATGGTCCATCAAAGAAAAGACAAGTGTAAATAACAAAATGAATTTATTACCAAAAGTTGGGTACAAACATGGTTACTTTTGACATAATCACCATAGAAGATTAAGACATTTGTCATATCTGTGGACGAGCTTTTCCATCCCCTCTTCATAGGATGTTGCCGCCAATGACTTGAGATGGACCCTAACGTTGTTTTGAAGATTGTCATTAGTCTCAAACCTCTGCTCTGCTAGCCACTTTTTCTGTTCAAGAAAAAGATGGAAGTCACTCGGCACTAAATTGAGACTATACACTGAGTGTTTAAAAGTGGTGAAGACTTCCACCCAGCTTGGAACTTTTTAATGTGAGAAGACTTCCACTTCTTTCCTGAACTGAAAACGTGGCTAGGAGGGCAGAGGTTTAAGACTAATGACAATCTTCAAAACATCATCATCAAGGCCATTTCAATTCACTGGTGGCAACATTCTATGAAGAGGGGATGGAAAAGCTTGTCCACAGATATGATAAATTCCTCAATTTTTATGGTGATTATGTCAAAAAGTAACCATGTTTGTACCTAACTTCTGGTAATAAATTCATTTTGTTGTTTAATCATGTCTTTGTTTTATGGACCATTGGAGGTTGAAAAAACCACTCTCGTATTTTTTTAAATGATTATAAAAACATTTCATTTGAGTTGTCAGTTTACTGATTATGGTAGTTGGATGTTAGTAAACAGTAGTAGTGTAAGATAGATTTAATATTTATTTATATATAAAAAACTCATACCTTTTCATACACTTCCAGCACTTCTTTATAGTTCTAACAAATGTTTCCTGTCAAGCCAAAAACATTGTTTAGAACTATAAAGTAGCAATGAAAACATGAAAAAGTGTTTTATATTTATATATATAATTTATAAAATTTCCAGTTTATGGTAGAAGATTTATCTTGAATATTTTATAATTGAATGTGAAACATGCTTAGAACAAGCAGATTTTCAAAGTTTTATGAAGTCATATATCAATATATTTATGTATTTGTTTAGAAATATTAATTTAGAATTTAGAGAACAAATTTTTTTAATATTCAACAAGTGTTAAGAAGATGTGTGTGTGTTTCGGATGATGTTCCAATAAAATATAGATCATTTTTAATTTTTAAAATAGTTTTCATATTGTCCATTTCTATATGGATATCTTCTCCAAATTTATTCAGGTTATGCTTGCTAGATTTTTCAAATATGTTCTACATAATAGGAACAATTGAATACTATATGAATTTTATTACTACATGCCATTTAGGATGAAAATATCTTTCAGGTTTTTAAACTATTATGTAACAAACAAAGTAATCAATTTAAAAAGTTTCTGTACAGTTTTCAGAATATATTATATTATATTTTTTGTTAAACAAAAAAAAAATACTTTTAATGATTTTGTTCCACTTTTTTAACTTAAATGTATAATTAATTTTAGAATAACTTATTTGTCTGCTTTTTAAATTTCATATCTGCTCTCGGGTTGCCACTTTCAAAAATTGGCTTTACCAGCTGATGTGATGACTGGGGAAAGGTAGATGAAAAGACACATGAATTAACAGCTAATTGCACTCAAATTAATCATTTTAGCAAATTTAATTATTTAAAATGAACAAACAGTAAAATCAAATTCAGTTTGACACTTAGATTTGACATTTTAGTGATTTTTTAAAGCCACTTTAAAATCATATTTGGTATTCTATTTAATAGTACAGTACTCAATATTTTATTATTGTTTTTTACACAAATCATATTTGAAAATTTAATGTACTATAGCACCATTTATCAATTATAACAAAAACTTTCATAATTATAATAAGAAAATAGTTTTATCATTATAAGTAATCTTACTGAATATAAAAAATTATTTATATAATAATATTTTTTTCAATTAAAATATAAATTTGTTTATATTGTAAACTGTTTTGTCAGATGTAAATATTTTTGCTGAGTGTCAACCTGGATTTAAAATTGCTGGTCAAGCAACCCTAATACAAGTCAAGTGGCAACCCTAATTAATTTGTTCTTTAAATTTATTGCTATGAGTACTCTAGAATTTATTTTATAAATTCAGATTAGAGATTGAAAATGGAGTAAAAATTATCAAAATGTTATTGTGAGTAAAACAAAATGGATTTTGAAGACAAATTATTATTATGAATTCATTAATATCTTTAAAAAAATTTATTTATTTTGAGAAGTTATATATTGTTTTCTTTAATTTATGAATTAAATAAACATTTTTTAAATACACATTAATTTTATTAATAGTGAAAGCGGGTGGTATGCGCATAACTCAACATAAACCTCCAGTACACGAGAAACCACCAGAAATCAAAAAAGGAGAAGAGGAGGAAGAAGAAAGTGAAACAAAAACTTCAACAAGGTGAAAAAGAAATTGTTAATTATAATTACTATAATTTTGTTTTGGATAACTTGTGGTGGTGTATTCTCATAGAAAATTGCTACAACAGACATATCCCATCTCATATACCCCATGTCTCTGAAATGGTTTTTGAAAGTATGATACTTTCTGTATTTTAGAAGATTTCATCTCAAACATTGAAAATTTTTTTTTTTTTTATTTCACTTGAATGTAGATGTAATTATAAAATAATTGAAGTGAACAAATGGAATGCTAAGAAGGAATTAAAGATAAAAATGTTTACTGAATGACAGTTTTATTAATTACATTGCTTCATGTTTTTATTATCAAGTTATATCAATAAAATATATGATCGTCACAATTGTAGGATTAACCCTCATTGCCGCCATTGTTAGAATAAAAACCACGTGTTTACTTTAACGTTACAAAACAGGCTTCTCTTTTTCGGAGGAATTTTGGCATAAAAATTTTACGCCAAAATTTTATGCCTTAACTGAAAAAAGAGTAGACACACTCTCTACTCTTTTTTCAGTTATGTCTCAGCCAAAATTTCAGAAAAATTTTTATGCTTTCTGTTTTATGCTAGATTTTACGCCGAATTTTATGCATGTGCATTCCTGGCCTAAGATTATTTTCTGCTATTGAAGTCATGTAATATGTATTGTTATATTTATTTTTATTTTAAAATAACAAAGCTGATTGCTTTGATATCAGGAATGCTGCAGCACCATAAGCATCCCCTGCTTATGTTTCTGTGTTAAGCCATCCAATGCAAATTTTTTGTTTTATTTATTCAATTATTGTTTATAAAACATTATGTAAAGGTTTTTTTTACTATCAAGTTCTAAGTTGAAAGTTATTGGATAATAATTTAAATTTTATATGAATGCCACTTAAATTAATATAAGACAAATTTCTACAATGTATAATTTTAAAAATGAAGAAAATAAATCNTACTATCAAGTTCTAAGTTGAAAGTTATTGGATAATAATTTAAATTTTATATGAATGCTACTTAATATAAGACAGATTTCTACAATGTATAATTTTAAAAATGAAGAAAATAAATCAAAATGGTAATATCATATTTAGTTTTGATTTTATTAGCAAAATGGTGGAAAATAATATATGTGACAAAATAAAATATTGAACAGTCAAAATTAGATGCTAGTATTTTTAAAGTATAAAGTTGTTTTCATTGTCAAAATTCACTGTATAACAATGACAGTAAGTTTAAAAATTATTAGGATGAAAATTTTTACATATTAATCTTCAGAGTTCTTTGACGTATCATCATTATATAAGTAGAGAATAATTGCTGAATAATATAAATTTATCATGTTTCAAAATACAAATTCAAATAGACAGTCTAATAAATCAATTAAAGCATGGATTGAATGTATAGGAAATGAATGGAAGAGAACTAAAGACAAGATATGAGTATATAGTATGTACCTTTGATGGTCTTGAGAAAAATTATGATGAATACATACGGTGCACAAAGAATTTTTCATGTTTTTGAAGACAGTCTTTGTAATTTAGACAAAGATATTTGATGATTTTGTAATTTCAATTTAAAGTCAGCATATAATCGTATTCAATTTCAAATTGAATTTTAATATGAGTAATCCACAGGTTATTTATATAAAATTATGATATATGCTTTTTTTTTTTCTATTGGATATATAAATTCTAAAGTTTCACTTTTATTTCAGTCCTCCAAAACAACAATTAATTATTTCTGGAGTTCCTGTTAGAGTAAGTAAAGTTTTAAAATTAATATAAAAATGATTTCAATAAACTATAATGTTGTATTGGAATATATATATATTTCAATTCCATAAATTTAGTATTTTTAAATTTAATGCTATTTAATGCTTGTTGTCAGGAGTACATTTTGCATCATCAAAAAACAGCTTAGTCCAATAGTTACCTAGCAGCATTCTAAGACATTTAAAAATACTTAAATGCACAAACTTATGATAAAAACACCAAAACATCATTCTAATATACCTAATCTATATCAGGAACAACTTACTACTCAAACCAGTGGTTTTTAGGTAATCATGAGTTTATAACTTTTTCTGATATTAGGTTTAACACTCCACTCTTCTTTCTCTAAACTCCTTGATCACTCTGAATGATTTTCTAAATTTGATCTTTGCTAACAAACATTATACTATCAAAGTTGTGTTTTCTGCTTGCTAGCCAATTTCACATTACTTCACTATCCTTTTTATTTGTAACCATCATTATTAACATATTTATGCTTTTTTCATATATCTAAATATTTTTGGTTAGTTCTGGACATACATTTTTTACATTTAATTGTTCCAACAACTGGAGAAAGGAAGATGGAAATATTTATTTTCCCCTTTGTCTTTAAGGTTTGTTATTCTACTAATGCATTAGTCTATAATAATAATATCATAAAAATGAAAAAGATGAAGACTAAAGTTTTACATATTTTTCAGATAATATGATGATAAGTTTAAAATGATATACAGTATTATTAAAAACTAAGTTTAATTAATTGTTAATAAATAAATTCAAATATCAAATTGTTGGAAACAGGCACTATTCACTGTAGGTGTAAAATAAATAAAATCTACAGTTTATCAGTTTTTTAACTTAAATATAAGTTTTTTTCACTGATAAGACATATATTTTATTTGTTTTATTAAATTGTTGGATAGACTTATTTAAAGTTTCTTCATAAATTAATGATGATATAACATTTTGATCAAAGTTTATAATTTTTGTAGAAAATAAACAATAGGTATAAAAAGTCTTACCATTACAACATATTTATTTATATCATGAGAAGTTCAACATTTATATATAAATTAAACATTTTTAGCAGTTTCTATTGAAAAAAATATCAAAATATTTTGTATTAAAGGCATTTTTATATATAATTGTATTAAAATATTAATTTTTACATTTTAAAAATATTTATAAACTACATTAGAATTTATTGTGGAATAAGTTAATATTTAAGTTAATGTTTTTGAATTTTCTTCTTCTAGCATCAATTTGATTTTGTAAAAGAAAAACTATTCTTTGAATTTATTTTCTGTAGACTAAATGAATCTTGTTAACCATCCATCACTTAAAATGAAGTCATGTATTGTCATGAAGCAAGAACGAGCAGTAGCATTCATATGTATTATTATATGTTGTTTTTTTTTTTTTTTATTAATATTAAATTCTATTATTTTCTGAAGAGTCATCTGACAATCGATGCAACTAATTAACTGTTTTGAACATTTTTGGAATTCAAACTACTTGTATTGTTGATTCTCTGTACAATTTGTTGTCATCAAAATTCTCACAGCTGTCCTTAACTTAAAATCTGTTTTAAATACAAGTGAGTTCATCTACAGTAGTGGCATTAATTCAAGACATTTTTTCTTGTAGTGTCAGAAAAATGCTTTTTTGATATTTAAATGGTTGTTCTAATCTTACATCTTAATTCAATATGTAACAAGTTAGAAGTACTTATAATTTTTTATACAAGAATTCCTGAATTAACCTTTTGATCAGTAGCAAGAACAATATTGAATGTCATATGTTTATTTTAACAAATCATAGGATAACATGTAGGTATGTTTCAGTATTCAATCAGGAGAGTTTGAGCAACCACATCTGACAGTTTTGTCATTTTTTAGCATGTATTGTTTTGACAAGAGAGATCTGTAAATTTTGAGGTTATGTGAATATAATAAAACTGAAATTATGACTTCTAACAAAACAAAACATGCTGATTGGTCTCTGGCAAAGAAAAGAAGGCTACACATATAAAGAAATAGCATTTAAATTCAATGATAGAGTTACAAAGACAGCTGTGAGAAGAATCTGCAAATGCTTTGCTGAGACGGGATTGGCAAAATTAGCTCCAAGAACAGGCTCAGATATTTTTGGTTTTCTGCATGATGTGAGCAGATTCTGTTCTCTCTCCCTGCAAGACTCACAGATCATCAAAAGATATCAATAAACTTCTGAAAACATCTGGCATACAAATTGTGGACAGAACTGTTAGAAAACAGTTGCAAGACAGTGGTCCATGAGCAAAGACACCAAGAAAGAAGCCATACTCAACAAAAACAGAGGCAAAACATATCAATTTGGCTCTTGCACACAAAGAGTGGACACAAGAAAACTGGGATTATTTGGAGTGACAAGAAAAAAATTTGTATCTTTCAAAGTTTGTTCGTCACTTAGCCAGTGAAGATCTTTTGCCCAATGGTTGACTGTGGCAAACATTAAGCATCCCATGAGTGTAATGGTGTGAGCCTGCATTGGCAGGACATGGTATTCAACATCTTGACAGCAAAATTGATGAATAAAATACCAGGAAGCAGTATTGAAAGCTAAACTGCTGCCTACCATTGGGAATTTGTTTGAAGGTGATGCATCTTTCAGCAAGATGAAACACCATCTCATACAGCCAGGAGTTGCCTAAAGTGGTTTTTGTCCCGGAAATAAACCTGACCGAAATCCAATAAAAAAATGTGTCCAGGTTGAAAGTTTTGGCATCGGGCCACAATCCCAATAACTAAACAGAGTTGAATGCAGCCAGCATCCAAACTTGGTTCAGGGTGATTGTGCAACAAGATCTCATGTGTCTAATGGATTTAATGTCTCAAAGAATTGAGGCAGTGATAAAAGGGAAAGGGTATCCAACAAAATATTAAAAATAAACTGTTTTACTTCATGGTATGTATTTAAAATGAAATCTTATGAATAAAGCATTCTTGTAGGGAATACTGTTGTTTCACTAAATAATTTTATTAAAGCTTTCCAAATTTGTAGTATCAAATTCAACAGAAAACATTGTAATACATCATCCTTTGATTAGAATACAAAATACTGTATGAAATTTGAGAGGAAAAGGAAAATTGAAAAATCTATTAAAAGTGTCCATAATTAATGCCACTACTATATATATTATTACTATATCCTTATTTTATTTATTAATACAGTAAGCTTGATATATAAAATATCAATAAATAGATTTAGTTAGTCAAGACAAACTATGAATTATAGAATAGGTTGTCAAATTAACAAAAATAACAGAAAATCATCCAAAAAGATCTGATTATCCATCCTTTTAACTACACTTGTGATAAATTATATATAAGATGCTTGAATAACAAATAAATATAAGTTTACTTATTTCTGTAATGTATTATTTTTGAAACAGGAATGGTTCAGGTGAGACAGAAATTTTTGAGTTATTTAATTTTGAAAATTTCAAACAGTTTGATATTTATGACATCTATAATTAATCGGTTTTTGAATATTCAGATTTCATTTAAATATTTGCTATTTTTCAGGGCGATGCCGATTTTCCTACCGAAGCGGTAAAAGCTTTTCATACAAAACCGATGCCTTCTCACGAGTACAGGCCGGCACCGAGTAAGCCAAGCATGATCCACCAACCGAGGAAATAGTTACTGCCTTCAGAAACCACACGGAGAAACGACACTTCTGCACTTTGTCAGATTATGCATTTAATTTTGATATTTACTTTTTAGTTCGTCAAATAAGAATTTATAAATTTGAAAAAATTAAACAGGTGACTCGTCAAAGTGCACTTCCAAAGATCGAGTGCCGTCTGCTTGAAAAAAATATCTTGTTTTCCATTTTTGACTTTTTATACTGTTGCGTTTGAAGAAATAATAATCGTCATTAAATTGGTCTTCGTACGTGTACCTTTAGAAGTTAATTTCCTTCAAAAAGTGAGATGGTTTTACAAATTAAAAGAAAATGTTTTTGATTTTCCATACATGTTTAAAACATATGTAAGTATAAATGATNTTTAATATCACATATTTTTAATTTAAGTAAAACTTGTAGGAAATATTTGAAATATAATATTCTCCTTATATGGTTAATTTTTAAAATTTTTATCGTTTTAAGAGTTATTTTTTTGGTTCTGTCAACATTCCTGAGTTCAACAACAGACGTTAAAATATTTTTGTTAAAAAGATAAACAAATGCACGAACTAGTCGTTTTAATAAGTTTTATTTTTACATATTTACAAGCTTAAAATCTAAAAGAGTAGAAAGATAATACAATCGAATCTCTAATAGAAGCCAATCTTTCAATAAAAATGTATAAAGATAACCTGTAAAAGACGGTCATTCTTTTATGTTTCCTTCAGTGGCCGTCGTTCGAAGGTTGACCGTAATATATATAATAAGAGGATAAAAATACGGAAAGTTCGATCCGATTTTAATACTCTTAAAAGATTGATGAGGTGCCGTAAAAGTGTATTTTCCAGAATTTTACACGTAATAAATTAATGTTTATAATGTTCTTTTTAATACGGAAATTTTTATCACTTTTAAAAATAAGTTTAAAAGATGAGAAGAGGATAAAAGAAGTTATGTGGAATTATCTAAATAGTTTATTATTCCCTGAAGTAATATCTAAAATACTGATGTTCCGTTATATCTTTTGTATTATCTTTATAGTTAAATGAAGCTTTTGAATAAAGTAGCTGGCTGTAAATTTTAATCGCCTATTTTATAATACGTGAATCAACCTGCCAATCAATTTAATAATCTACACAGACAGACAAACGTAGCTATTAATCGTCTTTTAATCCATATTCTTTTTTTTCTGTATAATTACAAATAATCTTTAAAAGAAAGTGTTTTTTTCTACTGTAAATTTTATAACTACAATTTTTTTCTGTATATAAATTAATTTTGGTGAAGATTTCCTCAGGGAATTAAAAGTATTTTTGTATGAACTTTTCTTTATTAATACACGAAGAAATAGTTGTAGGTTTCTAAATAACCTATATTATCAGTCAATAAGAAATGGCGCCATACACAATGAGGTTTTGCTATATACAGTATACGTAAGTGAGGATGTTTGTTCGCTATACACTCCTAGACCGTTCGACCAATTGGTATGAAATTCGGTAGTTGCTTTAACACACATTTAACTTAGATAATGTCGTACGTACCACCCCATAATATTGATTTAATTTCTATATATCGATTAACTTCTGTCTGCATTTTTTGATTGTTGTCTTTACATGTAACGCCATCTATTAGAAAAAAATTTAATTCATACGAAACATTAAAAAATATATATATATCTCGCTATTTACGAGGATATACTTCCCACGTAGTCTATAGGCATACTGATAATGTTCTTAAAATAAATTTTACCACATATCGGTACATTTTTGAAATTTACGAGTAATAATAAACGGGTGTAACAAGCTAGTTGATTATAATATAGCAAAAAACTTAATTCTGAGGGTTGTGATGAGTTTTTTTTTCCTTTTTTTTTATAGATTGTAAACCGTTGCTACATAAACCTAATCGTTGGTTTTATTTTAGAAAATTGTTATAATTTATATAACATTCATCTAAACAAATTAGACGTGGTGGATTTTATGTGAGGGGCATTGATGCTATTAAATTTTGGTAGTGAAGAGTGAAGAAGGTGGGGAGATAGAGGGGTTAGTGTATCTCGAGAGAAGTAAGACTTAAATGAAGATTTTATTGCTTATTAACGTTTACATTTATTTAAAAATCTCACCCTTATCGTCACAATTAAGCTTTTTGCCATTTTATAGTAATTAAAAATATAAAACATTTTATAACAAAATGTGATAACAGATGACGCCATACACAATTTTATTTTTGTTTAATAATATACAATCGACCCCCCATATAACACTGTAGATAATTCCGTGTTATATGAATTCCACGTTATACGAGTCACTTAGATTTTACAAATACGTGAGCCGTTCACAACCCGGCATACGTATTTGTAAAATCTAAGTGACTCGTACAACATGGAATTCATATAAAACGGAATAATCAACAGTGTTATAAGGGGGTCGACTGTAAACGTTTTTTTTTCTTAAATAAAAACTGGGAAAGTTACGCAACTCTCGTTGCTAGATTCTTTTTGTTATATATTATACAAAATCAAATCCAACTTAATGGTAAGAACTAAAACAATATTTGAAAATATATCGGGAAAGAATCCAAATTAGATATACTATGTCCTTTTCTTTTTTACCGTTTCCGCCTGTGGACACTAAGACGGCCTTTTTTTCAAGCTTATAGTGGGTTCTGCCATGCCCACAATAACGATTGGTTGAGAAAAAGGAATCCACATATCCACTTCCGAAAAATTCCTAGGGTTTTAGAGTTCTTTCGACCCATTCAGGTCCGAACCCGGGACACCAGAGAAGTGAGCCGACACCTTAACAATACCGGGCATACGGCCGGCAATACGTTTTAACCAAGTTAATGGACTGTTTATTATTTTTCAGTTTTATGAAAAAGATAAAAAGAAAAAAAAGCATTGCGTTAAGAGATAAACGATAACTTTAAGAATTTTATCAACAAAAAGTAAACTTATCCGAAGCATTTCGACTTCAATGAGTAGACGAATAACAAACTTCACAAACTTTTTATTGATAAATTGAAATTACTAAGTAGATAAGTATTAGATGTGATCTGCTTTATTGTTTGAAGTTTGAAAATTAAATACTGTAAAATCAAAATATAACGAAATTATTTTTTTAAATTAATGTTTAAAAATTCGACGACGAAGATAAATAATTGCAAAATGTTTTTAAATCTCATTCGGAATATATCAGATAATTTAGAAATGTGTTTAACAACTATTATAAGGAAAATGGAAATAGATACGAGGATATCTTTAACATTACAAAATCTGTCAATTTTCTATTGCGAAATAATTGCTAAATTTCAAAAATTATTTAAGAATTTTTGTTTGTATTTGCCCTTTTTATCTTTCCGAAGGTCAAGCGATATCAATTCTACAAAAAACATTATCGAATCATTTAATAAATTCAATTATTAAGCCGCATACTGCTTAACGGGAAACGAATTCGGACGGGTGGATAAACTCCAGGAATGAGGATGGTTCTGGACGCGGTGGACCCCGTCCATCGCCATCTCGCCTCTCCATTCTGGGCCTGGCCGAAGTCACGATAGACATGATTGAAAAGGTACTCTTTGTGTCCAAGGGGTAGAAAACGTAAAAGAACCCATTGAAGGCTCTGAAGTTCATAATGGGTGGTCGAGACGGACGAGGGACAGATCACCCATTAAAAATTCTGGGATTGCTCGTCCGAATTTGAGTCTAGAATAGCAGGATGGCTTCGGCTATCTGGTCTTCGCGATTAAAAGATCTAATTAAATTGCGATTTAGTGTTTCCACGGCTAGTTTTATTAGCGTAAGATGTGATATAATTATAGATACTAAATTAAGTTTATAGCATGATTTTATTTCAACATCTAAATCTGTTAAAACTGTTTAGAGCAGCATTTTAATTGATGAAGTTTTTCAAACGTGGTAAATCAATTGTTCCAGAGTTTATGAATCAAGCTGTATGGTTAATGGAAAAGACAACGCAACAGATGGAACAATATGCTAGAAAATGCCTTTCGAGAGGCATTTCTATGGGTAACTGTCCCCTAAATAGGATTCCCGTGAAGAAAATCCGGAAAACTGTACACAGCCAGTCTGTTGGTGAAGCGCAAACCCACGAGTGTTCAGTGTTTTTATCCACTGAGCCACTGGTGGTTTTCCCTTAGAGGATTTCCCCATCTTTTAGACGTCAGTATCTATAATATTAGCAGCATGATGGCCGAGAAGGGCAAGGCGTTGGTCCCCGAATCGAATCCATCCGTAGATAAACCTCGGGAATTTTACTTTATCATTTATAAGGATTCTGCAGGGCTGGCTGTTGACGGGTTGCAGCGGATACAAGGGCCCCAGAAAAATGGAAATAAATGAAAACGGAAAGAAACAGAAATTTCCTGCTTTTAGCCTTACCGAACTCCTTAATAATTGTATCGTAATTCAGCTTAGATGCTATATATGCTTCAATAGATAAAACTGCCAAAGCTGAAAGTCTTTCCTGACCCATTGTATTTCTTAAATAATTTTTTATTAGTTTTAATATTGAAAAGCTCCTTTCGGCGTAGGCAGTACTTACCGGTATTGTTAACAAAATTCGAACGGCAATGTAAATATTTGGGTAAATTTCTTTCAAGTTATTTTCCGTTATGTATTGGAGCAGCTGTTTCACATCTTTAATGAATTAGGGTAAGTTTGGGATTATTGTTTGTAATTCTTCATATAATTCGTAAGTCACTGCTCTCACTCACTCGCGGGACTGAGTGTAAATCTTGACAATTTTTTAATATTTGCTCTTTTGGAATATTTTTTAACTCGCTTAGATCATAAAGAAAACCAAAATTTTCAAAATGTCGATTTAAAGACATAAATCCCGAATCCATATTTGTTATTATAGAATGTTAAAAAAAATCTGTTTCATACCCGCTTTTGGAAGACTGTATAGGTTGATCGCTGCCTTCATCGTCGAACATCCTTTTCTTTTCGGCTACCCTTTCGTTTTTAAAGTCTTTTGGCAGTTCATAACTGCTATTTTCAATAAATTGATGAGCGTCAGACAAGCATTTTTCGAATCCAGTTTGTCGATATTCTTTGATCCAGTCACAAAATGTACGCGAGCATTGCTTAAATGGACTCGTAGAGATTGCCATAATTTGCTTATGATATTAACACGCGATAATATCTCATACCATACACGTAATGA